GGCTGTAAACGTTTGTGGAACAAGCCGTACTCACCAGCGATGGGTCCGCTACCCAATTTCAGAACCGAAGGTCAGCTACTCGCCTTCTCCCGTACAGCAGTCGACTTTGCTGGGCCGTTTTACGTAAAACGTGGCCGCGGACGTGTCCAGGAAAAGCGGTATGCAGCGATCTTCACATGCCTGCAAACCAGGGCTTGCCATTTCGAGGTAGTGTACTCCTTAGACACGGACGGTTTTAAAATGGCCCTGGTACGCTTCACCAAGCGCCGTGGAACCCCAACCATGATCCTCTCAGATAATGGGACGAATTTCGTCGGGACAGAGCGGGAGTTGCGTGAAGCTGTACAAAGTCTTGGTACTGGTGATGTCTCAGCAGCGTTGGCAGCCCAAGGGACACAGTGGGTTTTTAACCCCCCGAGGGCGCCTCACACTGGTGGTGTGTTTGAGCGGGTCGTTCGCTCATTGAAACAAGTACTGCAGACAGTCTTGTATAAAGCGGATCTTACCGATGAGGAACTGCATACTGCTCTTGTTCAGGCGGAAGGGTTACTCAACTCTAGGCCACTAACTGCGGTTTCTACTGATGCCGCGGACCCTCAGCCATTGACGCCTCACCATTTTCTGGTGGGACACGCTCGAGTCACGAGTCCACTGGAGGTACAGGCAGAGTTGGCTGAGCGAGCTCATCCTCATCGGCGTTTCGACATCATCCAGCATTTACTGAAGGTAGTTTGGAGGCGCTGGAAGAGAGAGGTTGTCTCACGGTTGAACCTGACTACCAAGTGGCAACGTGCTCAGAGGTCAGCTCAGGTTGGAGATGTTCTGCTATGCCTCGACGACCATCTTCCACGAGCAAAGTGGCCATTGGGAAGAGTGGAAGCCGTCTACCCAGGCAAGGACGGAGCGACACGTGTGGTGGATGTCAACATCCGGGGAAAAGTCTACCGTCGGCATGTTCGCTACCTTGTGCCTCTGGAAGTGGAGCCGTCGAGTGACCGAGTTAACAGCTTGGAGTCGGTCGTGAAGATGCGTGACCTGTGAAGTGAAACTCATCGCCCCGAGCTAAGTACTGAGTAACTGATTCTAATACCGAAGACGTTGGCTGATCAGTGATAATGAAATAAAATATCTGCTAGCCATATTTCATGCTGTGTGGTACTGTTAGAGCTATGGGTGATAGGAATCATGTTATGCGTGTTACAGCACGAGTGGGTTGCAAATGTCTTCGATAGTTTCGGTACTGATGAGCTAATTCTATCGGAGGAAGTACACATTATGCTCTTTTGTTTTTCCTGGCAAGATGCTGGTGTGGCATATACTTGTTTTTGCCTTTTGTTTTTCGTTGTTTTTGTTTTTTTTGCTCTTCTGGGTGTATGTAGTTTTCGCTCCCCTGCTATTTGCATGTTTGCTCAAGGGGGAGGAATGTTGTGTATAGACTATCTGTTGTGTTTCATTGGTCTGTGTGGCCGAGTGACTCCCGCTTCTCATTCATGATGTTTGGCCTGTTCTCATCTCAAGTGTAGCTACCCCTTTGCTGTGCGGTTTTATTGGTGATTGTAATATCATGCACGTGCCTGCTCTTTTCAGTTTCCCGCCGTTGTAGGCAGCGCATGCGTAACAGCTGATTTACATTTTTTGCTGTGACTTTTTGTAGGACAGGGAAGCTCTTGTGTTGGGTTTTTGTTGGAACAAGAAGAAGTTTTTGTCTATGTTGAATATTTGTGCGCTCCTTTGATCTTGTGAGAGTTGGGTCATTTTGGGCCATGCACGCAATTCGAAACAGGAGGATAATAAGAAAGACGAGAACGAGGCAGAGGTGGAGGATGAGCCCGGTGAGGCATCACGACTGCCCAAAGCCAAAGGAGCAAGCATATCGAGGGTTAGATCACTTATATTGTACTTTTTCATACCACACAATATACTAAATTTCCAAAATAGCATTCCGTATGCACCCTCAAAGTACTTTGAAGACTGTCGACGTAGGGTTCTGATTTACTGTTATTCACTGCTAGTTCATGATAGCAACTTCAGTTCCACATCATTTTGAAATAGCATCACCATATAATCTACTTTCAAAGTACTAGGTACTTCCAATAGCAGTATTCCGTGCAGTGTGACTTACATTATGACACAATGCCATATGAGTGGTTCACATTGCCTTTTCAACTAGCATTACAAGTCCAAATTAGCATTCTAACGAGCATTATATGACCGAATAACTAGCAATGCTAAAAGCATTTTGAGCTGAAATAACTAGCATTACCCGCCGAGGCCTACCTACAGCATCGTTCTACCATGTTGAACGGTGTTGGTCGTTTTGCTCTTATTCCACGATCATGGAGAGCACCATACGATGCGATCACACCACGTGGAAAACATGTAGAAAACAGTACATGGGTTCTTTAAAAAATCTGCAACTCCAGCCCGGGCTGGAGCGAGCCAGCCAGCCCGCAGTGAGTTTATATGCGCTGAACACACGCCAGCCCGTTGTGAGTATGCAGCAAACACACTACGACTGTAGTGTGCTGCCCCGGGCTGAAACGCAGGGCTGCAAGCCATACTCAGGTTATAAACCTAAAAACTTTTTTTTCTCACACAATAATCTTCTGCTGATTTCTTTTCGCGCTGTGGCACATGCTTGGTGTGTTGTATCACCTCGTTTCTTATTCCTGTTTTTCACATTTTTAGCTGTCCATATCAAAGTATTTTGCAAGTAGTTCCCCTTCCATTTTAATGTAAATCATGCATGTCGACAAATAAACAGTGCTCACTGCACGTCCTTCTTGTTGCTGTACAAAAAGCTTCATAGATTTTCAAGACAATATCGGGAATCCTCTTTATAACTTCCCTCAAAAGGTAAAAGTACCTATTTTGTAGTGTGAACGCAGTGTCGACACCATAATAATACAACTCTGGCCCGGGCTGGTCTGTTTATATGTGCTTTTTCTGGCCCGCCTAGCCGGGATCCCGGGTGCCTCGAGGCGGGTCCCGCCTCGCCGGGCCAGCCCGCTTGCCATGTTAACGCACCGGTGCACCAAAGGTTTTGTGTGGATTTGTGTACAACCCCGAGATCCCGTTGCAGGCGGGCTGGCCCGCCTGTCGACCAGCCCGGGCTGGAGCTGCACATAATCACCCCCTAAGGCTGTGTTTACATGAGAAATTTCAACCCGGGTCGAGTTCAGCCCGGGTTGAAAGTCTGTACGATAGACAAAAGAGGTGAGCGTTTACATGAAGACAGTTGACCCGGGTCAAATACTGATATGCCGCCAAAAGTCCACTTCTAGAGTCCTGTATGGTCACGTGAATCCGTTCGCGCGAAATTTGCAGTGCTGTTGAAACCTGGCGCGAGATACGCACAGAAGTACGTTTGTACGATTTTCTTGACCCGGGTTGATTTCAACCCTCCCCTTGGGGGGAGGGTTGAAATCAACCCGGGGCGAAATTTCAACCCGGGGCGAAATTTCAACCCGGGTCAAGCGCAGTGCGTCATGTAAACGCGCCATTCACTTTGTGCACATGGGGGGTTGAAATCTGACCCGGGTCGAACTCAACCCGGGTTGAAACGCTTCATGTAAACACAGCCTTAGACAGTCGCAGCCTCGCAGGTACTCCATATCGGGATCTAGTAGAGTACTTGAGGGTACGCTACAGTGCATGACACATCTAGATATGGCATGAATCATCAAAGGGATACCGTAACGGATAGTCTAGATCTATAAAGAGAAGAGTACAAAATTAATAAGAGAACAGGCATGCGCAATGGGTACACACATATACAAGACAACACTACACTCATGTCCGCATATTTCCCCCTTTTTTATTTTCCCAGTACAGTAGATATTGGTTATAACGTGCCCTTCTGATTTTTCACATGTTATCACTATGGCGCGTTCAGACTACCGTGAATCCCGTCAAACCGTGCATGCCGATAAACCGTGAAGGACATTCACACTACCGAACAAACTAACGTTACCGTGAAGTTTTCAGCTCTAACCGCGGCACTGACGGGATTTTCCCTTTTTTCCCAGCGCGCATGCAGCCTGAGCACTTTTTTACTGCCGGTAAAAGTTTACTGCCGCTGCAGCCGCGCCAGTAAAACTTTCCCACCGGTAACGTGCCGGTAATGTCACGTGATCAAATCACCTTGGCGACTTTCCCAATCGGTCACTTTTTATCGGTAGTCTGAACCAGGGAGTAGTACAATACCACTACTCCCTGGTCTTAACGCGCCCTAACCGGTATATCACTACAGGCGATTTTCAACTGCGCTCGTCATACATACACATTATCCATATAAAAATCGCTCTGTGAGCGGTTCTGAAAAACCTTTACTGGTGCTGCCCCGTCGTAAAAGTAAGAAATTAGAACTGGAGCATTTTCCCCCCAAATGCGAACAGATCCACCTAAATCGCGAATGACGGGACCCGAACGCACCAGTAGCACGAGGTCGGGAGGGCACAGGATCACAGCAATTATCATAGGGTGACACCACCACTACTATAGTGCAGTACATTGCACATTGTATCAGTGGCAGTGTATTGCTAGTACACGTACAATTATCGACGACCATGGCCAACGTCCCCATCTTCATCCACAGCTAGGAACCTCGTGCTACTGGTGCGTTCGGGTCCCGTCATTCGCGATTTAGGTGGATCTGTTCGCATTTGGGGGGAAAATGCTCCAGTTCTAATTTCTTACTTTTACGACGGGGCAGCACCAGTAAAGGTTTTTCAGAACCGCTCACAGAGCGATTTTTATATGGATAATTTCAGTTCTTTTTCCGTTCCCTCCCCACCCCAACCCCGAAGGTGAACATGATGAGCACGCGCGCGATGTACTGTATGTAGCCATGCGACTGCAATAACACACTGATACATACCAGCCCTCCCCACCTCGCTACCCCGCACACAGATACACAAACACGCGGGTGCACACGGCACACGCATGTGACCACGCACACATACGCACGTGCACACGACACAAACAGGAAATTCTTCATGTATAATGCCATGCAAAGCAGTGGTCACCGTACTTCAGGAAGTCAGATGTGAAACAAAATAATTCAACTACAGTCAACTTCGATAATAACGACTGCGGATATAACGACAATTCGCGAATAACGACAGAATTTCCATGTCCAGAGCAAAGTCCCATCCAACTGTAATACAATCATATAATGGGACTTCGGGTATAACGACACTTCGCAAATAAGGACACTTTTCTGATGCCCCGCCGAGTGTCGTTATACGTGAAGTTGACTGTACAATGTGTAGACAAGCTGACGGCTAAAGCACAACATAGCAAACATGACATTTGCTCAAGGATTGCAGTTTGCAGACCACGCCATGGAAGCAGCAAATACAGAATGTAATATCATACAAAGTGACAAGCAAGGAAGTGGCCACCATACACCAGAAACTTGCAGAAAGTCACATATCCAACAGATAGAGAAGTGAACAGCAATCTGGTACAGCCCACACAAGACAAAGCTGACCTGATACTCGTCCCAGGATCGTAAGTGGCAGATCCTTTTCAATGCATAACATGCAGGTGTACGTTACACGCATGGACAAAATCTGACCGTGTCGCCAGCACACAATGTCATCACAAGTATACCCCACAACTTACACACATGCACAGTAGAAGCACAATGAAAGCAATGGAAAAGTACGAGTGTGGTTGCTGAAGCATCTTCACACTTCAAATTCAGACTTCAATGTGGTCGTCACAGGATGATATACCTGCAAGATACAAGTGATGCAGAAAGAAAGCAGAAGGTCATGAGGCAGGCTATGAGACACCACAAACGGGTCACCTACATGTATGTTCAGGGCTAGTGCACTCACATGCAGAATTATCATATTCGAGCATTTCCCAAACTGAGAAGTGCAATGAAATCCACTTGCATGCAGAGGAGCAATTTTGCAGTGTGATGCGTAATTTGACACGATCTGCGATGCTGCGTGCGATGCAAACTCGCGCAAAATATCATTCACGGAATGACTGCAAGAGGTCAGTGATGCAACAAGAACCTGCGTTTGTCACCATGGCACTCGCATAGCCGGTACAACTGGTAAAAATGTGCAAGCAATTCATGAGTCTTTCGTCTCGCCTCCTCAGATAACCACTGCAAGGCTGCGACGACAACCTTCGGCCTGACAATGTGCTTCCAGACAATCTTCGCAAGATTTTTAGACAAGGTGCTTCCAGACAATCTTCGCACTGGTTGGTACACAGTTCACTATGATGTTTGTATTGTCAGCACACAAGTCATGCATGAGATGCGGGTTGTCGTCAAATGGCAATGGAAGGTGGAGTATTTTGTTCGTGGCACCTCACTCGCTTTGAATGCGGTCGACTGCCATGCTTTGTGTCTAGCTTGTAACATGTCTGGAAGGGTTCCACTTTTTGAATGAGTAATTTTTCGAATGAATTTAGTCGCGACAAGCACTGGGGTACAGGGTGAAGGTGCAAGTCATTGAGAACGCAAGATGGCGGCATGCTGTCTTTCTTCACGTACAGTTTGCAAACCCTGCAAATGAACATGGCGTCTGTAGCGTGCGACTGTACACCATTAACTATTGGCAAGACATACACACACACCTTAAACGTAACGAACTACAAGAATAGAGTGAGTACAATGCGCTGTCGACCTGATAACGTGTTGGAAGATAACAGGTATACCGTCCCACCGTAGGTCTACCCTTCATCATTCCTCATTCACCATCGCGCGATATCATGGCACACACTGGCAACATATCAAGGGATGCCTTACCGTCGCCTATAGGGGACGTCTTCGCAGCAATGTTTTTCGTCCTGCGCATACAGTCCGCCGACGCGACAGAGTTTACGGGCCCGTTCCAGTTGTAGAAGACATTCGATTCATCGGGCCAGTGCCGCAACAGGGCCGTGGGCACACAGGGGCAGAGGAAAGACATTGTGAGTGGACAATAAATATGCAGTGGCAAGTGCCATGAATGTCAAGTTCTCATTTCTAATTGAGCTATTACTTACAGTCCTGCCATTGCTCGCTCGTCCTGATTCCTCCTCGTTCGTCTGTGTCCACTTCTGCCGTTCTCCTCCCCGTCACAGCGTCAGGCGGACGGGACAGCGTTTACGGGGCCGTTCCAGTTGCAGAAGACATTCATCAATGGCACTTTGCGGTACGGGGGTACCGGAAGGAGTTCGCACCATGTCTCCAAAGGCCTAGAACGGACGTCTCTGCAGCAATATTTTTCGTCCTGCGCATTCAGCCCGCCGACGCGACAGCGTTTACGGGGTCGTTCCACTTGCAAAAGACATTCATCGATCATCAATGGCACTTTGCGGTACGGGGGTGCCGGAAGGAGTTCCCACGATGTCTCCAAAGGCCTAGAGCGGACATCTTTGCAGCAATTATTTTTGCCCTGCGCATTCAGTCCGCCTACGCGACAGCGTTTCCGGGGCGTTCCAGGTGCAGAAGACATTCATCAATGGCACTTTGCGGTACGGGGTACGGAAAGGGGCCTCCTCGTTCCACTTCGTCGACTTCTGCAGTTCTCCTTCCCGTCAGGGGTACCGAAAGGGGCCTCCTCGTTCGTCTTCGTCGACTTCTGCATTGCACATTGGCACAAAGCAGACCGCTGACGGGGTCACGTGTCAACAAAGTAACAACAAAGTATCGACAACGTGTCGACCACGTGTATAGCGGTACACTCAGCGGTACACTAATTCTAGTTTGCTTTAGTTCTGCAGTAGAATTATACTAGGAACTGTTGCTTCTGTACATGCACCCTAGTCCCAGGTCATCACCAGTATCGTTTCCTAACACTTTCCACTCCTGCCACCCATTGCAGTGGGAGCAAGGAGTCTTCTGTAAATCTACTTAGTAAGTTTCGGCCTGTGAAGTACTTCACCTGCTGCTTTCGTCCGTCAGTATCCGCTGCACATTGCCAACGCCTTGATCTCCGCTTCTGGCAACTCTATTTTTATGTATATTTTTTATCTCGTAGTGTGTAGTTCTTTTTGTTGGGCTGATAGAAGGGCTATGCCAGGATCATGGGCTTTTCGGCTACATTCGGCTCTCTTTTTATATCCAACTGTTTTTGTTGCAGCCGACTCCAGTGCATCCCTCACACCTCCGAAACGTGCCTCAGCTGAAACAGTTCCCTGCTGCGTTTGTTGCGTTGCCAGTGATTTGTCTACCTCCTCCTGGAATTGACAACAGACCTGGGGGTTCTGAGTAAACATCGAGGTGTTGAAGCTACGCTTAGTTGTCTGGTTTCCCTTCCGCCAGATTGGAAATAACGCACGAAGCTGCAGTGTGGCAATGACTATTCTGTGATCCGTTGGTGTCTCGCAGCCTGCATAGCTACGTGCATTACACAGCAGTGGCTTGTGTTGCGTACGGCAAAGAACAAAATCGATCTGGTTGTAGACAGGTTGTGGGCCAACTTCTCCACTCCCAGGTCGCCGCCAACCTGTCCATGTAGTGCGGTGGCTCTGGCGGTGTTGAAAAGCTGTGTTGGCCAAGAAGGCATCATTTTCAATTGACCATTCCAACATGTGTTGTCCGTTATCATTTCTGGCGCCTCTGCTGAAGGAGCCTAGCCATTTACTTTCATCAGCTCTCTTACGAATTCCAACTTTGCTGTTGAAGTCTCCAGCGATGAAGCATAGAACTCCGCTTCTCGTTGTATCTTTCCATACAGTCGACAAGGCGCTGTAGAACTCCTCTCTCAGCGATGGGTTCTCTTCACAGGAAACAGCGGTAGGGCCATATGCACTTATGACACGTACCGTGTTGTGAGTTGGTTTACAATTACTATTATTTTTGTTGCAAGGGAAAACAAATTCCGCAACACCAATTCTCTCACCAACGCTCCAGTATCTTGACAGGAACGGGTCAAGACGAGGAGCGACGACAATGCCTACTCCTCGCTGATATCCATGGTCCTGAGCGAACGTTATGAGCCGGTACCCCAGCGGTAACACGGTACAATTTGCTTCACAATTTTTTGTTTCTTGGACTGCACAAACATCAACTCGATACCGCTTCAGGTCTCGTTCGAGCGAGTGCCTCTTCCATGGCGCAGTGAGTCCTCGTACGTTGAACGTAGCGACACTAAACTCATTGTTTAGCCCAAACCGTTGTGCAGACTGTTGTGGAAGATCCGAGCAGGAACCTCCATCCATGGCCGTCACCCCATGGTCCAAAAACACATTAGTGGCAAGGAGTATCCATGCAGCAGCCCTCATTAGTGATAGTAACCAGTACACAATCGTGTAAAGTAAAACTCCAGTACAACATATCCCCAATGAATACGCTATAACATATGTGTGTACGCTATAGTAGAGGTACCATATATCCAAGGGCATATGAGTGGTACAGTCTGATGAAGGATGCCACAAAACAGTGCAATTTATATATCAAGGTATGAAGTATCCAGGATACTTCACCGTTTATACTCAAGTTTCACTGTACTTACCACTAGCACAAAAAATGAAGCTCCCATCCTCTCTACTGTTCTCTAGTGTGGCAGACAGCATTCCTGTTGCGGATTTCTGGAAATCTACAACCAACCTAATGAGGGAGTCAGCCAAAGAGGTTGTTGGACACATGAGACGCTCAAATCGTGGCACTCTGATAAAAGAAAGTGCGGAAATTCAAGAACTATCCCGAGAGCAAAGTCGGCTCAGGGTTCTGATAGACTCTGGGCCAAGCAACGCAGCAGAGCTAAGGAAAGCAAGAAATCAAGTTCTCCATAAAATCAGAAACACCCAGCTTTCAGAAGCCAATGATCGCCTCGACAAAATTGCTGAACAAATCGATAACGCTCCTGATTCGGTGAAGATGTTTCAGGCGGCGAAGGCCCTGAAACGGAAGTCTGCAGATAGTTCGGTGAAGGTTGAGTCTACCGACGGTGAAGTTGTTGCCCAGAGCCAGGAAAAAGCGGACATAATCGCGGCGCACTTTCGACAGCAGTTCTATTCTGCGCTGATATCAACAGCCGAACGCCCAACGCCCCATAAGTTGGAGGTTCCAGTGGCCATTGCTGAGGTGAGCCGAGCCCTTCAGCGGTTGAAGAACCAAAAGGCCTGTGGAGAGGACCTGGTACATGGAGAGCTGCTGAAATATGGCGCAGAATATACCGGTCCTATAGTTGCAGATCTCCTGAATACCAGCATCACCCGAGGCCTAGACTTCTCGAGCGTCGTCGGCCCAGGCGTCCTAATCCCGTTGGCCAAACCAAACAAACCCCGCGGACCACTCACGAGTTTGAGACCGATAGTCCTACTCAATACAATAGGGAAAGTATTCTCACTCGTGATACTGGCACGGATATCAACAGCAGTGTCAGAATTTCTGGGACCCACCTCGTCGGGATTTCGAGCTGCAAGGGGAACGAGTGATGTCGTGTTCACCCAACGTTGGTTATCGGCCAAGTCACAGAGGTACGTGTGGGAGTGTCATGCCTTGGGGCTAGACATGTCAAAGGCATTTGACACCATCAACAGAGCCAAGCTCCTGGATGTTATGAGCTCGTTCCTTGGCCGCGATGAAGTCCACATGATACAGCATCTTCTGTATGGCACCACCATATCTGTTCGTATGTGCAGCTCCACTTCCAAGGCATTCCATACCACCATCGGCACGCCCCAGGGGGACAGTCTAAGTCCCGTGCTGTTCGTCTGTTACCTTGAAGCCGCCCTGCAAGAATGTCGCCCAAGACTCCCACAGCGACCTATAACTGATGGAGGCATCCCTCCAGAAACCGGGTACGCTGATGACATAACGTTCCACTCTACCAGTAAACCTTGGCTCGAGGAATCATTACCCATCATATCCTCGACACTGCAGTCTTGGAACCTAAAAGTAAATGAGCAAAAAACGGAATGGGTGCACTTTACGTCAGGCGATTCATCCTGGCGGAGCATCAGGCAGCTTGGCTCTCTTATGGGGGGCGCTGAGGATATCGACAGGCGGATTTCGCTGGCATCCCAGGCATACGGTAGTATGTTCAGCCTCTGGCTGCGGCGCAAGCATGTGTCAGAAAGGTCCAGGCTCAAGCTGTACAGCTCGCTTGTGCTGCCTGTCCTCCTTTACAACTGTGAGACTTGGGGAGTAACCCAGGCAGTCTTTCAGCGACTGGACTGTTTTCACCGCCGACAGCTCAGAAACCTGGTGGGAGTGCGATATCCAGACAGAATTACGAATGATGATCTGTATTCCAGATGTGACTCGCAGCCACTGTCGGAGCTTGTTGCCAAGCGACGCCGTAGCCTCACTGGCCATGTGCTGAGGATGAGTGAGCAGTCACCCCCTTGCGATGTCCTGCTATTTTCAAGCGGGGTCACGTGGACGAAGGGGCCGTCCCGCGGCTACTCTCCCTACCACCGTCATGAAGGACCTGGCAGGGCACGACATTCCTTTGAAGAATGCCAGCGACCTAGAAGGAGTGCGAGCATTTGCTGCAGACAAGTCGAAATGGAGATCAGACATTGTTTATGGATGAGTTTTTTGTTGACTGAAGACAGAAGCGGACTTGGCTTAATTTCAGTGTATTCTCATGCATTGTTCTTTGGCCTTTGTATGCGTGCTGTGGTATTATTATTATTATTATTATTATTATTATACTACTAGCACCCCCCCCCCCCCCCCCTCTCCATCCACCAACACAACACATCTCATGAAAATCACTGAATAGCATGGGATATGGTCAACAACATACTAAGTACATGTATGGGTGAGTGATTGAGCTACACAGCTATATACAGGCTGCCACCGACACAAAATCCGTAACCATTGAGCCCTGGTGGAAAACACAAAGAGCAGCATTTCGCAATGGCACGATGGTGCTGCTGCTGCTGCTGTGCTTGACCCCGGGAAGTGTGGCCAGACACACAGGAAGTGAGTTTCTAGCTTTCAGAGAACAGGCAGTGCCAGGCGGGCGGCACTCACTCTCCTTTTACAGACGCTGACAGGCTGTTGGATATTGCCATGCACTTGCTTTGCCTGCTGATTTAGTAAGTACATAACTAACCTAAGTAACTACTCTAGCTACTCTAGTGTTCACTCTGCATATCACAGCATCCAAAATACGTTGCATCACTTTGCAACAACTGTGGCTAGCAGTACAAGCATTAGGCTATTTTATCATGATAAGTACACACAGTACCGGTTGAGGGAGTTGAAAAGGGAAGAGACAGTACATGCTCGAAGCATGGTGTCCTGAGCACGCTTTGCTTACCATTTGGTGACCACTTGACACAGGTAGCGGCACGGTTGATACGCAGCAACACCAACATTGGCTTCCAGGTGCCATCGTCCTGCTGGGTCCACACGTAGGCATTACGATCCTGTCGAGGAGGACACAGAGGGAGAAATTGAGGAGTTAGCAAAGAGAGGCTGCCATGCATGTGAAAGAAAGAGAGACCGGCTCCTGTTCATGTCGTATGATGATCATGTACATGTACAAACAGGCTCGTAGTCTTCAATTGAGCACAAATTACCAGGCCGTACCAAGCGGCATTTCCACGGCCACCATCGTCCTTGAGGCCTGGAAAGCTACACCTGCCTGCAACCGAAAATGATTTGCTCACAGTCATACATTTACAGAGGCTTGGGTACTGATATCTTGTAGGCTGCATGCCTCCTGGGTAGTGGGCACATTCTTATGCTCTGTGTGACATCCGTGGGCCAGGAAATCAACTGCTAGTGTGGCCAACACTTGTCTCCGACAAAGCCAGGACACTGAGAGCCCAGTCAGTGACCGCTTCTGCTGCTGGATCAACGAGCGCAGCTCTTCCTGATAAACTGCCACCGGCACGATTGCGGATTGGTAGGTTGAACTTACCACTGAACTCGACTCTCCTAGTACAGCTAACATGTGTCGTTTATGCACTCAGCCATCCATGCTTCCCGACTCGGACGCTGGAAAGTTCGGTTTCACCCTACGCACTTCATGTCTTGAAGTTGAACGGACCGCAACGGCATATTTACAGGTCCGACCAACGAAAGCTCTTCTAAATCTTCTTCACTTCGTCCTCAGTTCGAACGAACTCAGCTCATTGCATACGGCTGTGTAGTGGAATGATGGCAAAGCCCCTGTGACCAGGTGACCCAACCCAAGCGGCCACACAACCAAGACGTTTTATTTAGCTTACATTTGTCACTACAAGGAAAAAAGAGAACTAACCAAAAGCCATGATCTCGGAACTACTAGTAGTAGTAGTACTTCACTTGACCTAAACCGGAACTAAATCGTACTCGCACGGTACGCAGCGCAGACTGCACGTACAGCAGAACATAACCATGATAACGCGACGCAGCTTGGAAAGCCAGCTAGCTAGCTATGTATGAAACAACGGACCGCAAGCATGACAGCGGGAAATGCAAAGGCCAGTCGGCAACAGGACACAATGACGATTTATGCTATTGGGTATCATTCATGGCTAGACCTAACACTGTATGCACGTGACATGTCGCCAAGCTATTGTTCTAACCAGAGGAGTAATTGTCACCTTCAGCAGCATGGATCTAAGAGTAAGACTAAGACTGTATTCATCATCACACCTCCACCAGGTGACAAGTCTCTTTACGAGCAAGGACCGGAATACACTCGAAACGCTGTGAAAGGAAAAACCTATAGTATTTAGGAACACAACCTAGAATAATAGAACCACAGAACAAATGAACTACTGCACACCATCAGCTCCACACTCACGGAGCATACCTCCTTGGGGCTCTCAATGTATCTCGATTCCGGAGGCTTCGTCCAACTGGCTGATCATCTTCAGCAATCGGCAGGTCAAAGGCAATGGGCAGTTCGCCATTGCTGCTAGAACTGGCCTCCACCTGGTCGACTTCCGTTGACTCTGACTCAGCCTCGCCTGGATCCATCTTCAACAGATCAACATTCACGATCTTCGTGCCACCGCGACCGTGCGCAACGACGACCGTTGAGGATGCCACCACTGCCTCGACCACCCAACCACGCTCGTAGGGAGGCTGGCGCTTCTGCCGTCGGTCTTGGCGTCGCAACAGTACTGGATCTCCGGGCTGATAGGGACAGGCGACGCGAGATCTCGATTCATCAATGGAGTCAGCTTGCGATAACTGGCCGTCTAAATAATCCCACACCCGGGCCGTCTGCATCTTCAGCTTGTCCACCCAAGCGCTCTCAGATAGCTCGCTGCCGGACCTCTCCACCACCAGGCGCTTCGGCTTCCAGCCATACATCGCCTCGGCCGGGCTGATACGAGTGACACTATGCGGGCGTACACAGTACTTGAATAGCAGCAGATCAAGAGCCGCTTTCCAATCATCCTCTTCCTCCAACACCTTCCGAATCAAAGTGAGGAGCGTACGATTGAACCGCTCTACCGTGCCTTGACTCTGCGGGTGACGAACTGCACCATGCTGCACTCGAACCCCAAACGCCGCAAACAAAGCCGACACGATAGCGTTGACAAACTCGGTGCCGTTGTCGCAGCGCACAATCTCTGGTGGGCCCCACCGGGCACAGATGGACAGAAAGGCATCAGCAACACTTCGTGCATCGTGCCGGGGCAATGGAACGACTTCAGCCCATTTGGTAAATGCGTCCACACACACCAGGACGCAGTGGAACCTGCCATCACGACTGCCGCCGAGCTCCATGGTGTCGATGAACACGGTGTTCCACGGACCAGATGGCATGGCAGACCTCGTAGCTGGAACACTCTCGCCACGCTGCGGACTGGCAACAGCACAGGCCTGACACTTGCCAACAAAGTCCTGGCACTTTGCTGCCATTGAGGGAAAGAAGCACCGGCATTGCAGAAACCGCCAGGTTCCCTCCCAACCGGCGTGTCCAGTCTGAAGATGGGCTGCGCGCAACACTCTCTCCTCCAGAGACTCTGGGACTACTGGAATGACTTCTTCTTCACCAGTCGGCACCTTGAAGCTCCTCATCAGGACACCGTCGGCAACACAGAGTTGATTCTGGATCTTCTTGTAGCCAGCAGCGACAACTTCCTGTTCAGCTGTCTTCGCTGCAATCACCGCTGTGATGGCCGCATCACCTTCCTGTTCGCTGGCTATCTCTTGGAGCGACACAGGGCCAAGAGCAGATGGATCGATGCAGGCACCAGACACGCCGACGTCGAACTCGCCGACGCCTGACTGACCTTTCCAGTACTGGACGAGCTTCTCGGGAACTCTAGTCAGCTCGTCTGCCTTGTTGCTGGCAGATGGAACCCACTCCAGATCAACGCTGAGGTCAGCCGCTTTGATCAAGTCATCGATGATTTGGAGTCGCCGGTGAACCACCACCTTGTTCAGCCCACTGACTTTGATTCGCTTCAAGTGGCCGAAAAGCGAGCTCAGCCAGCCATGAACGGTCTTGGAGTCGGTCAAGACCTTCACCTTGCGCACATTCCACTCAACCGCCAAACTCAGGCCCTTGATGACCGCCTCGAGCTCTGATAGGTTGATGTGGCGCGTGTCGTTCTTCAGTCTCAGCCAGCATTGGTCCTCTACCACTCGGCCGTCGACTTCCAGGGCCACGCCATAGGCGATACTCGAGGCATCACACCAGATCTTCCAGGAGTGTTCCTCGCCGCTTGGGACGCTCCAAGCACCATGAACTGGGTCTTCCTTCAGCACTCGAGCCATGACGTCACGACACAACACCTGCAACTCTTCTGGAACCGGCTCATCCCATGCATCAGTCAGACAGGCCAAACGACGGAGCCAGCTTGACATCGGCCGCAGCCAGCGACACACAGGATAATGCGCCGTCAGGGCGCCACACCAGCGAAAGATGCTACGCTTCGTCAGCACAGCAGGAATATCAATGGATGTCGGGTCACGACGATCCCATCGCAGCTGGTCTCCCTCAGCATCAATCTTCAGGCCAAGCACGCACGCCTCCTCAAGCTTCACAGGCGGCTTCGTTGGTAGACCATACCGTTGCAGAGAGGCAGCCAGCTCCTTGGTCTGATGGCGTGGTGTCAGGATGTCATCCACATAGTTGTCAGTTGCCGGAAAGTCCTTCGTAACCCACCGGACAATAGCATCCATGACTTTTGGTGCGATTGAAAGGCCGAATCCCATGCACTGCATGACAAACTTCTGACCTTTCCAAGCCACCACCTGAAACCGCTGCAAGGCAGGCTGTACACGCACGTTCAGGAAGGCTTTCCGAATATCCAGGATATCCATAGCATCGCCGCACTGGCGCCATTTCCGAAGCTTCTCTTCACATGCTGGTGCATCCAGGCCCGGATGAGACACAATGAGACTGTTCAGCGCGCGATAATCCAGACAGGGGCGGACCGGAGTGGACACTTTGTGCTCTTGACACACTGCCAGCAGAGGCAAAACACCGCCAATCTCGCCGTGCGAGCCTTCGTCATAAGGAACTAGCCATCCTTGATCAATCCAGTTTTGGACCTCGGTGACGAACTTCACCTCCTGATCATCCGATAATCCTTGGCGGGAATACTCGCCGATGCCTGTACCGATAGGTGAACTTGGAGCAGTTCCGTCGCACCATTTCCAAGTGACTTCCCAGAAGCCTTTCTCGGGGTCGAACATCACTTCACAGTCACTCATCTCCAACGTGACCTTGTCTCCATCCTGTCGGACCTGAACGTGGCGTGGCAAGTGCTCTTCATTGCTGATCATACTCTCGACTGCAGCCACGACTGGCCTCGTTCCGAACACAGCACCAGTTAGCCGGCCGTTACTCTCTGAATACTCCAGAGCAACACCACCGGCCGATGAGATCACATCAAGACCAATCAGCATGTCAGAGCGAACCACGTCCAGAGAATCAACTACCAGAAACTTGGCCTTGATTTTCGGCAGGTACACATTGTTGTCATCACGGGAGACAGTCAGCTCCACAGTGCCAGTGATATCGAGTGAGTTGCCGTTAATAGCCGTGATCATGTCCTCACCCGACGGCTTGCAGACAGGCACAGACAGTGTACGCACCGCAGCAGAAGACACTAGGGAGCGACTCGAGCAAGAGTCAATGGCTGCCTTCAGCCTGGTCTGCTCTCCATTGACCGACACGAAGACTTTCGGCAGGCCACCACGACGCCTGGCAACGAGGGCAAGACATGCATCATCTTCGCACTCTGCAGCAGCGACATCTGGTGATACTGCAAATGCATTGGCACCTGCACCAGGAGTCCTGCCACTCACTTGTCCTTCGGATTTGGCCTCAGGACAGTGCCTCTTGATGTGACCAAATCGCTTACATCTGAAACACTGCACCTTCTTCTTCTTGGGGCAGTCCCTCCTCAGGTGGCCAGTTTCTCCGCACAGGTAGCACACTCTGCTGTCTCCTGGCTCGGGTCCCACGGCAGACGCGCTGACACCAGGCTCATCCGCCACTGCAAGGAGAGCACGTGCTTGCTTCATCAGCTGTGTCATCGTGGGATCCCCACTAGCCGCCGCGCTGAGGCGCAGCTGATTTGCAAATCAACGAGGCAGACCTGACAAGAACTGCTCGACGAGCACCGGGTCTTTTCCATCTGCTGCTTCCTTGTGGCCACTACGCGTCAACAAAAGGCGCAAGTCAGATGCATAAACATCAACAGTTTCATCTTCCCGCTTCCGACGTCGCACAAACTGGGAGTACGCCTCCCTCGACGAGCAGGCGAACGACTCCTCAAGCCGTGCCTTCACCTTATCCTCGTCCTCCTGATCCGCAGTAGCCATTTGTCTCCACACCGTAAAGGCATCGCCAGATAGATACAGAGGCACATGCGCCATTCGCTCCTTGCCTGTGCTCCATTTCTGAATTTTTCCCACGACCTGGAACTTCTGCCAGAACTCTTCCAAGTCCTCCTGGCCACTAAATGCGCGCAACGCGCCTTCTGCTTTCGCCATCCTTAGTTCCTCCCCGCAGTCCCGGGTTTCGGCACCAGAAACTGTAGTGGAATGATGGCAAAGCCCCTGTGACCAGGTGACCCAACCCAAGCGGCCACACAACCAAGACGTTTTATTTAGCTTACATTTGTCACTACAAGGAAAAAAGAGAACTAACCAAAAGCCATGATCTCGGAGCTACTAGTAGTAGTAGTACTTCACTTGACCTAAACCGGAACTAAATCGTACCCGCACGGTACGCAGCGCAGACTGCACGTACAGCAGAACATAACCATGATAACGCGACGCAGCTTGGAAAGCCAGCTAGCTAGCTATGTATAAAACAACGGACCGCAAGCATGACAGCGGGAAATGCAAAGGCCAGTCGGCAACAGGACACAATGACGATTTATGCTATTGGGTATCATTCATGGCTAGACCTAACACTGTATGCACGTGACATGTCGCCAAGCTATTGTTCTAACCAGAGGAGTAATTGTCACCTTCAGCAGCATGGATCTAAGAGTAAGACTAAGACTGTATTCATCATCAGCTTCAATAACTGATCAGATAATGAGCTCTCAAATGTACAACTCCCCAGCAACAACTAGTGTTCCACAAACTGTTCAGATTCAGAAGTCGCCACAAAGGGGAATCCTTTCAAATCTAATCAAGCTCTCATACTTACATCTCCACAGGTGACGATCTGGTTTGACTTGGGTGCCCAATCCACACCACGCACACGCTGTCCGTCCTATACACCAAATACACACGCACAGACGATCAGTCCACTACTACCTCTATTGCATGATACAAACCCAAGGTGAGAACAAGTCCGACTTACTCCCTTCAAAACATGCTTCAGTTCGAAAGTCTTTCCAACCTTCTGATAGATGTTCACCTCAGTAGAATTAGGTGGCAAAGCAATTTGAGTTCTGTCCCCATTCCAGGCGTGGCAGGCGATGGGAACCTGGTCGCAAAGATCCAAAACCTCCGGCATTGTTGCGATTGGAAGTGTCTTGTCGAAAACAACAACACACAAGATCTGACCACTCTGTTCAGCCGATCTGGCAGTCGTCTCTTTTGCGGTGCGGGGCGCGATCGAGAGAGCAACAAAGCTGACTGGAATACAGTGAACCTGTTTCACGTGATTGATACCATAGTTACAACTAATCAGAAGTAAACGCTGATCACCAAATTCGATGTGAGTATTTGAAAAACCTGCGCGTTTTTACAACTCCAGGGCAAGAACGCATGCGCCAAAGCCGTGTTCAGTTGCCACGACAACTGTCATTTTTGAAGGGCCGCTTTTGAACTACTTCGAAGGTATGGCGCCAACGGCTCACGCGATCACAAAGGACGCTTCGTCCACGTTTTGCTGCCCAAGTCAAGAAAACTCAGCGAAAGAATCTCAACCAAGTCAAAGGAATTTGTTGTTCAGAATAGAGTGAGCAGCTTTCATTCGTTTGCTGTCAGGTGTAAATGCACTTGTAACTGACCGAGAAGCTGATGCCGATGTAGTCAGGGCAGAAATGTCGACGATGTCGATTTGCAGCAAAGGATGAGGTTCGATCTCTTGTATGAAATTGGAAAAGGTGGATTTGGTGAAGTATTTGTCGCCCAGGAGGGTCGACGAAAAGTAGTGGTCAAGCGATGCCAGAGAAGCCGTGTTTGCTTCAATGAAGTATCTATTTACCGTTATATTGAGGAGAAAAGAGGACAGAATGCATCACTTGCTGATCGGATCATACAGTTACTGGACGTGCAAGAAGATCGATCCAGTGCTGATGTGAATCATGGATTTGTATATTTATTATTGGAGGAAGCCGAGGGCTGGAGAATAGCGGATCAGATTCACCGTGACTTGTTTAGTTATGTGTCTCATTGTAGTAACATTCACAACGTAGAGGTTAGACAATGGCTGATACAGGTCGTCGATGCTTTGCTCTTTCTACATGGCATTGAGGTGATCCATCGTGACGTCAAGCCACACAACATGCTGCTATGTGCTGGTGGACAGCTGAAACTGTGTGACATGGGTACGGCTGTACGTCTTGATGACCCTGGTCAGGCACGCAGCGGTGGCGGAACACCGAACTATATGGCACCGGAGATATTTAACTCCGACCAACTACCGATGAAAGCGAGCGACTTGTGGTCACTTGGGGCCACGCTGTTCTTCCTGTTGGAGAAGAAAGCTCCATTCCAGGCGAAGGACATTGCCAGCGTACAGCAGAGAGTGTGCTCATGTGATTATGAGCTTGCAAAGACAGTGCCCGCTTGGGCAAAGTCCCTGATCGCTCAGCTCCTGCAGCCAGACCCTGGTCGGCGACTGCCGCTCTCGGCTGTAAAAGAGCAGCTAGAGTCTTGCCTGTCACTGGACAAGTCTAAATCTGACGCCGGTGGCGGCGGCGGTGTTGCCAATGCCAGCGGCTCTGGCCTGTCTGAACAGGTGAACGGAACGTCCAGCAACAAGCCAGCGCGCCTGTCAGCCGAAGGCCTGCGTACAGAGTCACGCGTTAGCAAGACACATCAGTACGAGCTGCGCTCCGATGGATGGGTAACCCTGGTTGATAAAGTCTACAATCGGCGACTGGAGGTATCCCGCGATGGAGGCCAGGTTGTGGAAGTGAACAAGGATGCTAAGAAGATGTACACCTATGATAGCATGCCGCGACGGCTGTTCCACTTCTACGGCCTCCTCCAGAAGTTTGTTGAGCACCTGCGCGCCTGGACGATCAAGGGTCGCTGCTACACGGCCAACTCCTACTCGTCGCTGGTGGAGAGCGGTCGTTTCCGCTTTTGGCTCTGGACCGGTGCTGATGTCACTAAGCTTGGTTTACAGCCGTCCGGTCGTGTGGAGATCACTCTAGCTAATGGTACACGTTCTCAGTTTTCCAGCATGAACAATGCAATCGCCGCTGGTCACAGGGACATCTGTGAGCAGGCGTGGAAAGGGCTGACGGAGCTACGTGAGGATGTTAGAATTGCGGTGGAGAGAGGCCGGCCACTGCCTGTGGTGCACGGGCTGCGTTCAAGCTGGTAAGCTATGATCAGATACGTGTTGGTTACTGTGTGTGTGTGTGTGTGTGTGTGTGTGTGTGTGTGTGTGTGTGTGTGTGTGTGTGCCAGCTAGTTCGGTTGGTGGGTACACTTATGCCAGATAGTGTTGGGCCTGTTGCCAACGGGCTCGGCTGCTTGAAGGTGTATTGTTGTACCTACCACCTTTGTTGGTTTCAGGGTTCATATACTTTCTATTTGAAGTATACATACCTGTTAACCATGGACTGCTTCTGGCTAGATTAACTCTTGTGTAATCAATGGTGCTAGTGAAGCTTATATCAGATCCACTCTGATTTAGCCACCCACACTAGTACCAAGTATTACTTTCACTGGGGGCAGGGGTACCTGCAGTTGGATCCCGGGACGGATACCCTGATGCCGTCAATCCTTTTTCTGCACCTTGTCTTCACCCACTTACTGAGGTGTGGTGAGCCTGTAAGTGGGATCATTTCAAGTCCACCCTAGTTTGGGGATTTCAGGGGGTGTCGGCCGCTGGGTGGTTCAATGGCCAATTGAGTCATCTTTCCAAGATTCCTTTTGAGTCTCTCTCCCCTCTCCCGGGGAGACCCACGTGACCAGTTTTGGCAGTGAGCAAGTACAAGTACAAGTGTGTGTGTGTGTGTGTGTGTGTCTAAATAAATGCGAAATGTAAGATAGGGATTCACTGGCCAGAAAAGCCACTTCAACCAGCTGTGTGGAGTAGACCAAGCTAGAATTATTGGCGGTCAATTCATCAGCCTTGCAAGCTGTTGAATGGTGTAATCCCAGCGCAAGTTGCTATGTCTAAAGGCCGATTCACAATACAACTTCTTGTGACGTGACATGCGACTTGCGACACCTGCAACGAGCTGCGACAGCGACGCACGGTTCACTATCTTTTTCATGTTTGCGACATCCTTGTGCACTATAAGTATAGTAGTACAGTATAGTAGTACTATGCACGTGCACCCAGGATCGAAACTGTACTCCATTTCTGTATGTCGCGTGTCGCATGTTGCAAAAGTTGAACTTTCTTCAACTAATTCTGCGACAGGTGCCTTGCGACAGCTCATGACAGGCAGTTTCTTGTCGCAAATCGCGTGTCACGTCGCAGAATTGTATTGTGAATCAGCCTTTACGTAGCTTGTTCGCTATCATCGCTTCAGCGATGGGCAGGAGTATGAGTGTGTGTGTGTGTGTGTGTGTGTGTGTGTGTGTGTGTGTGTGTGTGTGCGTGTTTGCCAAAGCAGTTACCTATGCATGCACCCTACACTTGCTTGGGTAGCCAGTATAGACAGCGCGCTGCTTTGATAGAAGCAGGCACTAGATGCACTAGTACCTTGAGTGAAATTGGAGTTTCTTTACCAACTAGCCTCGGCAACTGAGTGCTGAGAACCCAGAGCGAACAAACATACCAACATCAGCCATGAAGCTACGTGTATATGGTAGCACACTGGATTGTGAAAAGAATTCGGGTGGACACACCCATTCCCATAGCGCTGCATATCACATCCGAACCAGTTCCGTTATTTTACAACGTTTCGGCACTTGGCCATCATCAGGTAATAACAATGAATACCGTGGAAGCCACACAAGAGCAGTATATACGCAGAGTGTAGCGCCAAAAAAGATGCGAATTATGTCACCTAGTATGACAGAGAGAGAGAAAAGGCGCAACTAGCACATCACGGAGGAGAAGCAGCAGAAGGTAGCGCGCATTGTGCTCTGTGAATGCCATTGCGTTGCGCAGAGTGTAGCCCCAAAAAATAAAATGATGCGAGTTATGTCACCTCTATACAGAGGGGGGGGGGGGGGGAGAGAGAGAGAAGGTGCAACTGTGCACATCACGGAGAAGAAGAGCGCGCCGTTGTGCTCTACGAAGTGAGGGTACATGCCAAATAATTATGGTGTTAATTCTAGCACAGGATCTAGGAGGGGAGCACGGAGCCCCATGAGTCAATGCACTCTGAGGTTAAAACTTCCATGCCAAACTGTTACCACCAGGGACGCGACGAGGCATCAGGAATAGAATGGTTTTGAGTGACCCGCCTCATATTATAATTATTCAGTGATATTGAAGTAGCAGCAGGGGAAGCTGAGAAAATTCACAACAAATCCCATCCGGTGCTTATGAACACAGGAGACATCAGTACTGCCGCCGTCTTCTCTGCGATGCCATCGAAGACAAATGCGCAGAGAAAGATTACCGCGGGAGGCGATACAAGCAGTCTAGAGAGCAACTGTGGACGTTTACACAGTCGGACTACCTATTGATCCGTTCTCTTCAACGTGCAGTGGTTACCGAAGAACGAATAAGTTCCAACGCCAGACTAAATCGGAAGATTTCTGGGCTTCGAGAGGCGGATCAACGTGTGGCGGGAACCAACAGCTCACCCCGCGGCCCAACTCCTGTTGCCGCCGTTGGTGTTGCGTCACCCGGTGGGCATACGACCAATGCTGAGCCAGTCAATGAGCGGGCGTTGGTGGTGGGCGACTGTGTGTCCGACCAGACAAGGCGTCTGCTGGAACATGGACCTAGCTTTGTCCCGTCGACGGGGAGGCTCACCAAGCAAGAACGAACAGATGTTGAGACATCGGTTGAGAGGATGGCGTTCACCCTCCGGTGGCAACAGCCCCAGCCTCAGGGTGTGGACCTCAAAGAGGAGGACCCACCGCCAGAGATCAGACAGGACAAGAAATTGTGGAAGCTGATGAAGCGTGGCTTTAAGCAGCCCCCACAGATGGACGACAAAGACGAAAGGAACATGGCCAACTTCCGCGACGAGGTGTTACGAGCTTACGACAGACACACACCCTCTAAGCCCAATCTGACGCAGGAGGAGCGGGTGGAGCTGAAGCGACTTCGCACAGACCAAGAAACCATCATCAAACCATCGGATAAAAGTAAAAAACTCGTTGCTATGAGACAGGAGCTGTATTTGCAAAAAGCGGAAGACATATTATCGAACATGACCATGTATGAGAAAGTAGATTTGACCATAGAGTCCTACGAGACCAAGACACGAGAAGTAATACTGTCAGAGTGCAAGAACATGGATTCAAAACTCCTAAAGTCAATCCTACCAAGCAGTACGAAGTTCCCCGAGTGGTACGGTCTTCCAAAGGACCATAAGCAGAACTTACCATTGCGACCCGTGGTAGCAGCGTGCGACAGCCCAACGACTGGAGTATCTATTGTATTGGAGCGCATCCTACAGCAGCTCATTCAATTTGTCCCGGCCCACCTGGCTAACACGACGGAAGCAATAACCCACATCTGTGACGCATGTCCGGGATTGAACGCCCCCGATGGCACCATTGTTATGTCCATGGATGTAGTCGGGTTATATCCGAGCATACCTATTCGGGAGGGCGTTCAGGCAGTGGTGGATATGCTGCAGCAGTATTCCCAGCGGATCGACATGTTTGGGCTGAGTGTGAGCGGGGTACGGAATCTGCTGCTGTTTGTTCTCAGCCACAACTATTTCAGATTCGGCCATCAGATCTATCACCAAGTGGACGGGGTTGCAATGGGTAACAATCTTGCACCCCCATTTGCGATTCTATTCATGCATACGGTTGAGGCCAGGCTTCTGCAGGATTCTCCGTTAGTACCGCTCCTCTACAAACGCTACATCGACGATATCCTGCTGCTATGGACCCACGGCAGAGAGAGCTTGATGCGGTCTGTGCAGCATTTCAACTCTGCACACCCAAGTATCAACTTCACATATGAGCTCAGCGAGGTGAGTGGCTCCATAAATTATATGGATATCACAATTATGATCCAGGAAGGCAAGCTGGCATACAAGCTGTACCAGAAGGCATGTGCTAGTGGTCTACTCATTGATTATACTTCGGCAGTTCCCCACCATATCAAATTGGCAGTTGCTTCGTCACAATTCCTAAGAGCTCAGAGGCTCTCATCGAATACCAGAATGCGTGCAGAAAGTGAAGCGATGGTTCATGAGCAATTAAGATTGAACAATTACCCAGAGAAAATCATTGAAGAGGCACGCACTGCCTCCATAAGGCCAAAGCGTCGTCGCCATGCCAACCCATGCTGCGCATTTCTAAAGCTTCCATATAAGTCAGATAAAGTACATCAAGCAGTGAATAAAGCAATCAGAAAGTATAAAATTCCGGTTAGAGTCGTATATGAGCACACTGGTAGCCTGAGGCGCACATTGTGTCGCTCCGCCCTCGTTCCTCCTCTATGTGTCAAGGCTGCAAATCCGCTACAACCGAAAAAGAGAGGTCGCCCAAAGGGGCCATGTATCTCGTGTATATCCGGGGGACAGGATGTATGTATGCAGAAGAATGTTGTATATCAGCTGAAGTGCAAAGAATGTCCGGAACAATATGTTGGTGAGACTGGCCGCTTTCTGGAAACTCGCCTGGAAGAACATAATGGTGAGGCAAGACGCCAGGAACTCGACAAGCCATGGGGCCAACATTTTCGCACCACTCACCCTGGATGTAAGCTTAACTATGGGCAAAGTGCATTCTCTGCAGTTGAAGTAATAGGAAGAGAGCCTGATCGAGCCCGTCGCAAACTGCGCGAGGCGATTGAGATTCGTGATGCCAAGCCCCATGTGAACATAAGCACCGGATGGGATTTGTTGTGAATTTTCTCAGCTTCCCCTGCTGCTACTTCAATATCACTGAATAATTATAATATGAGGCGGGTCACTCAAAACCATTCTATTCCTGATGCCTCGTCGCGTCCCTGGTGGTAACAGTTTGGCATGGAAGTTTTAACCTCATAGTGCATTGACTCATGGGGCTCCGTGCTCCCCTCCTAGATCCTGTGCTAGAATTAACACCATAATTATTTGGCATGTACCCTCACTTCGTAGAGCACAACGGCGCGCTCTTCTTCTCCGTGATGTGCACAGTTGCACCTTCTCTCTCCCCCCCCCCCCCCCCCCCCTCTGTATAGAGGTGACATAACTCGCATCATTTTATTTTTTGGCGCTACACTCTGCGCAACGCAATGGCATTCACAGAGCACAATGCGCGCTACCTTCTGCTGCTTCTCCTCCGTGATGTGCTAGTTGCGCCTTTTCTCTCTCTCTGTCATACTAGGTGACATAATTCGCATCTTTTTTGGCGCTACACTCTGCGTATATACTGCTCTTGTGTGGCTTCCACGGTATTCATTGTTATTACCTGATGATGGCCAAGTGCCGAAACGTTGTAAAATAACGGAACTGGTTCGGATGTGATATGCAGCGCTATGGGAATGGGTGTGTCCACCCGAATTCTTTTCACAGATGAAGCTGCAGGAAGCCTCAGCCCTTCTTCAAACACTGGATTGTGCAGCCGAAATTAGTCCAGCTAACTGTTTCTTCCGAATGCGTTGGCAAAAAGGTAGCCTTCCAACAGGTTGGCCTATTCCAGTGTGCTCCGTGTGGTGTGTACCAGGTGTCCATTAGGGGGTCAATTCACATGGCTTCGCCAGTTGTATGGATTAGGCAGTTATCTGGCGCTAGTCTTGATCTCTTTCATTCAGATCTTGTCCGTTATCGTTGCGTTGCTATAAGAGAAAGTGTGTTAGTGTACCTCCAGTGCATTTGCATTGATCTGCGTGCTTCTCTTCGGACGAGCGTGCATGGTGCATGACAAAAACAAGCTAAACATCACGGCGAACTAAGAATGGTAGCTTTGACAAGATGGTGACGAAAGACTAAAGGCCAATTCACAATACAACTTTCTGCAACGCGACACGCGATTTGCGACAGTTGCGACAAGAAACTGCCTGTCACGAGCTGTCGCAAGGCACCTGTGTAAGTTGAAGAAAGTTCAACTTTTGCGACATGCGACACGCGACATACACAAATGGAGTACAGTTTCGACCCTGGGTGCATGTGCAGTGCACGTGCATAGTACTACTTGTGCATGAGGATGTCGCAAACATGAAAAATATTGTGAACCGTGTGTCGCTGTCGCAGCTCGTCGCATGTGTCGCAAGTCGCATGTCGCGTCTGTTGGTGTTGGACAAACTACGGATATAAACATGTCGGTCCTTTCTTGCAATTTGGATAGATGTTGCTGCATATCCTGAGAGCTCTTCGGTGGAGGTAGATGAATAGCAGATAAAGGAATGAATTCGTTATCTACCTCCACTAAGGAGCTCTCAAAAAGCGAAACAGCAGCTGTATGCAGAATATGCGCAACATCTACCCAAGAACGAATGTCCTCGCTATGGTGTTGAAAATGTGGGCCAAGAGCGCAGCGTGGAGTATTTCAAGTTAGTATTATTCAATGGCCAAGTTCGTCGCAGCTTTTAAGTTTCTATGCTGTTGTTGTTTGTGTTGTTTGTTGTGCTTTGTGGATTGTAGGATGCAAGCTCCGAACACCACAACCAGTATGGCCAGTGGAAGTCTGCTGCACTAACACTTGATCTGTGTCACTCTACTTGCACACCTCCTGTTGTGCCTGCTCCTGTCGCCAATATGTCTTTCTCCATGCTGGGCTGAGCTTCATTGCAACCGGAGCGAGCCTAGTCTCTCGTTGCCGCGGTTCATTTCCCCCATTTTGGTTCAATGTCACGAAATCACAAAACTGGAACATCGAGTACAGGTCAGACCTCGCTATAACGACCCCCGCTATGGGTTATCAAAATGGGTGCCTTATTATTTATTTATTTATTTTTTACTGGTAATTACTTTTTACAGCACTGCAGTTTTGAGCAAAATATCGAGTTTTGGTGGGCTTTTGAATTTGAGAAAATCCAAGGCTTCTCAGGGACTTTCTCAACACAATCAGTCACCAAAGTTGAAAACAAGTACAAAAGTTGGACAAAACAGACTCATAGCCACATTTTTGTAGAAAGTTGAGCGGCAGCAGGAGCTCAATCAAAAATGCCTCGTCATCAGCGACAATTATCGTTGATTTTTCCTTGAAACTCATTTTGTCTCGAGCAAAACCAAAGCAAAATATCGACGGAGAAAGGAAATGCCAAGCAGGATTATCGAAAAGTTTGCGGCAAAATTATGCGGCAAAATATCGATGTGGGCAGAGCAAATTTGGGCCATGACTAGATCACACACACCCGTGGCTCCTTCTTGCTACACTGCTCATCCGCCCCAACAGGGTGTGTCCTCATGCCGTACCTACTCTACTCGCAGGGGGGGGGGGGGGTACGATGGGTCGTGGATCGAGCCATATTGCCAGGCGCCATGTGCCAATGTTGCAAAAGAAGGACCTACGAGTGGGATTCGAACCCAGCACCCCTGTCTTTCCGGGACCGTCAGTCCCTACCGATTAGGCTACCGAGGGTCCCACCCACCCATGATGCCCGGTTTCACTCAGTCGGCAGAGCACGAGGGTACAGTAATGGATAATGGTTATCATACAGAATTGCACACTTATTCAGAGAGAGAGAGAAAGAGTTCTCAGGTAATACACTGTTGTCTAGCATGAAACTAATCCGTAGGAAACTGATCTGCGGAGAGCTGGTCTTAATCGGCAAGAAACTAACCCGTAGGAAACTAGAAAGGCAGCAGCTTTTATAGCGAAGGTAGAGAACTAAGGTTGGTAAGACAAGGATTACGAAATCATCCTTCTACAAGTTCTAGAATAGTGGAGAAGGTAAACCTAGATCATCATTGCTATACATGTAGATGAAAATTAATGAGCATTGCGTAACATTAACATAATGACTAAGCGAGGTGTTCTAGAAGATGAGATATCTATATTATGCAATTTAGTCAGCAACAACTCATCAGGCATATTACTTGGAAGGTATGGAACAGTCCGGAATCAACGACGTGATTGACTAACTAAAAGGAAGTGGTAGAAGTACTAGTTCTAGAAGTGCTGACAACAAGGTTACAAGCATGGGAGATCTAATTATAGCTTATGACGAGGCTTACGTTTACGTGCATGTACTACAGTACTAGTAGTAGTCGCAATCAAGTCATGTACATGTCATAATAATTATAATGTATGCATTTCTACCCTAACAATGCCTTCTTGTTACATGACGACCAGGCACTACGTAACGAAATGGGTGACCATGGTGACGGAGACCGCTCCTAAACGTAAAGGGTGGGAAGCGGGGGGGGGGGGGGGGGGGGGGGGGGGGGGGTGACGGTCTAGATGTTGGCGGATAATGCCGGCATTATATCGAGCATTATACACCACCCGGCCGGAGCATTACGAGCATTATAAAGCATTACGAGGCCAAAAATGGCATTATACGACGTTCTACATGACTGCATAGTAGATCTACACACATCGTCAATTCGTCATGTACAGATTAGTATCGGCTATAGCGTTGGTCATTGATTAATTGGCAACATCTATTACTATACGCGATGTATTAGTATTACTACAAGCGAAAGACCACCGTACACATCATGCATGGTACCAAACAGATCGTGGCACGCAGTGCCATGCAGTAGTGCTAGCTAGCTGTGGTCCAGCACAGTGTGGAAACTCTCGCAGAAACTTCCGATCCCGGAAGTCTATCTTCGGCCAGCAACTGTTACTTTTTGACATGAAGATCCAGGTAACAACGCCGAACCAACGAAACAAATGTGAGCCAGCATGGAACGGTGGAGGTGCGCACACGCACACATTCCAGACCTTACCCGGGTACCGTCCACAATGTTACAAAAAATAGTTTTCATCGAAGCAAGAGTCCATGTCTTTGTCGAAGAGTAACGCTGGACTTTCACCGGACATTGACCATTGTGTAAGACCAGCTAACTAGCAGCCAACGCTGATGGCTGACTCGCCGCGATGCCTTTCTTGGGATTGGGAGGAAGCTGAGCTTTCTCCAGATGAGCTTTTGGCGGAGTCCTCTGATGTAGTGATGATAGTGACGTCCTCGAGTTGGAAAATGCAGATCCTGCCGCGATAGCAAGGAAGCGGTCTTTTCAGAAAACAGCTATTACCAAGTCCGAAAATGTTTCCAAAAGGACGCGAGTAGCTCATAGACAGAGCACTAAAGTGGCCATCAGTGCCGAAACACGGGTGCGGGAGTTCGCAGATGAGCCGCTCAAAAGCGACTGTGGCAAGTAGTTAGTGTGCCTGGCATGCCATACAACATTGTCAGGGAAGGAGAGTATAATCATGTCCCATATTGCTACCGCGAGACACAAACAAGGAAAGGCCCGTTTGGAGAGGGAAACTCAGAGGCAGAAGCTGGTCAAGGAGTCCTTCTTGGCGTATCAGAAACGACTTGGGAAGGCTCTAGCTGGCACCGGTCTTACTGAGGCCGTTAGTTCAGCCGAGTCTCAGCGGCGGATCCAGATTGTGCGTTCTATGTTGCAAGCAGGAATCCCACTCGCAAAGGTTGATTACTTACGACCGCTTTTGGAATCTGACAGAAACGAAAGATTGACTGACTCGAGCCACTTGTCACTCTACGTGCCGTTCCTCCTAGAGGAGGAAGTGAAGCAGCTGAAGGAAGAACTGACAGAGGCCCGGTTTAGTTCCGTAGTATTTGATGGAAGTACTCACCTTGGGGAGGCATTGGTAATAGTGATAAGATATGTGGATTCAAGCTGGTCGCTCCAGCAGCGCCTCATCCGTCTTCACGTCCTGGCAAAGAGCCTCAACGGCTCTCAATTGGCAAGGGAACTCATCACCTGCCTGTCAACGCAATATCAAATTGCCGCCGACATGCTAATAGCCGCAATGCGAGATGGTGCCGCTGTTAACGGAGCTGCCTTGACAAAAGTAAAGGATGTCATGTACCCTGACCTATTGTATGTGTTTGTACCTAGCGTACATGTTTACCTGATATTGTACTACAGTAAAACCGGTCAAGGCGACCACCTGTCCTGGACGACCACTGCAACCAGGACCAAGGGGTGCTATTTCCAGTCAAGTGACCCTGGATAAGGCGACCACCTGGTAACAGAGACCACATTTTGAAGGTCCCTTGAGCGGTCGTGTTAGACAGATTTCACTATATGTGTTTATCATAGCTGCATGGGTGCAATATTATATCGTTTTTCTTAGCCCAATACCGCAAGGTTCAGGTGTTTATATTCCATGCGGCGGAGCATTATCAGCATTATTTGGAGCATTATATGGCCTTTTGTGGAGCGTTCCATTCAGACAGTACTCGAGTATGGGAGCAACTCATTTGCTCACTGCTTGTCAGTAACTCTGCATGACCGTCTAGTCCGTCTTAGTAATAGAGCTCTACGCATTGTGTTCAGTATGCCTCGTTTTTCTGACGTATCCCTTATTAATGCACGCCATCACATTCTCCCTTTTTCTGTGCGCTATCAGTTCAAACTCTATATCTTAGTGTTTCGTGTCCTGAATCAGTTAACTACTACTCTCCTTAGGGACCATCGCAAAAGTTCGCAGAAGCCCCCGAAACGAAGACCGTTAGTTTCGGGCCTGACCCCTCTCCCTCCCCCCCCCCCCCCCCCTCAAACGAAACGACAGTTATAATATGGGCTTCATTATTTCACTTGGATGCTCACACATAATAATTATTATAATATACTACACAAGCATTGTTGTATCAGTGTGTAACAATGTACAGCACTTTATAAATGCAACGATGATATTACCTTGCAGTGGGTGATCTAAGAACGAGAACAGCTAGAGCTATGCAGTTGTATCCTTTGAGCATGCTAATCTATATCAGCTCCTACATGTCGTCAATACTTTTTTGAATTGAAGCCCGGTTTGCGATTTTCGACACCGACTCCCTCCCCCCCCCCCCCCCCCCCAAACGTATGCTCTTCGTTTCAGGGGCTTCTGCGAACTTTTGCGATGGTCCCTTACTGATTGCTTTTGCCTTCGTTCTACTTCTACTCGTACCAATTCCTGCACTCGCTCCCAGGTATCTTCGTCTGTGACTCTACCCAAAGCTAAAACTCGTTTCGGTCTCTTTTCAGTTTCTTTCATCGGTTCCGACCGTTGGAATGCACTCCCCGCTGCAGCCCGCTTATGCTCTTCCCTGCATCTATTCCGTAATTCAGTACTTTCATTTCTAGGGTACCCTGTAAGAAGGCCTTAGGCCTGTGGGTATTGCCCTATAAAAAATTTGATAATAATAATAATTACTGAGAGCATTATATCCCATATTACCAAGCATTATCCGCCAACACCTAGGGGTAGGGTCCAGCGGATAATGCTCCGAAAATGTTCGTATAATGCTAACCACAATGCTCCAAAAACTACCTTATAATGCTGATTATAATGCTTCAGCAAGGGATATAATGCTCTTGGTTTGGGACAAAAATGGAAGAAAGTCTGCACATTGTCAAACTTCCAGGAAATTATGCATATCGTCGATCTGCGTCTGAAGTTGCCACCTTATCTCTCACGAGCTCCACCACTTCTTAGCACTATAAGACATGATCGCTTCTCCATTCCAACTTTGATGCAGGGTTGTGGCAGAATAGTCGGTGTATCAAATCTTTCCCCTAATTATCCATGTAGTGAGAGATGAAACCATTATTGTAGGTAGTCATTCATTGTTGGGATGAAGTTTATCTTGGCAAATAGTATTCCTGCCTGCAGACAAGCTGTCACTGCATCCACTCTGTGAATAATGCCTTCATCTGAAACACCAGACGTGAGGCCGGCTCCTGAGATCCGATCTCAGATGGAGAGCCCTCCCATTTGTGGAAATCTTGAAAACACGTGGTCAGAAGTTATTTTGCCACTCTACATCCTTTACTTGTGCTCTCATCTTCTCCTTGAGATGGTGTGTAGACATATGGCTTGCCACAATACTCTTCCTTTCTAATAGCATTTGACTCTAGGCCTGGCATTACAGCCGTCCACAACTAACTGTACGTGCTTCATCAGGAAAGTAAGACAGGCGCTGCTGAGCAATCGACTTGGTACTGAGTCCATGAGAAATTCTAGTTATTTTCGAGCCTCCTGAACTGGACTCAGCAAAGGCAGTTCTTTTGGAACGAGCTCTTTCTGTTTATAGCCGCTCCTTCATCCTGGTCCAAATTTAGCAATGCATCAGTGTCTACTGCTTTATCGCTAGAGATGCTATCGCCAGAGCCTCTGGCACAACTAGAAAACTCTTCTTCGTCTGTTTGATATGCACTTCGCGTATGTCTCCTCTCCATTATTCTAAAAGAAAAAGAAACCTCGTAAATAATTTCTCCGGATTTGTGTCACTTGAACTGCCTCGGCCTCGGTTGGGAATGCTTCACAAATGTCTTGTATACATTTACCTGACCACATCGCTACAATCATAACGTTTTTATGTAGCAATATTAATGTAGCGTTAGTGCTAAAGGTGTTACGTGTCTACACAATCACAAAGTCATGCGCAGGTACAATGCATAGTGCTCAAATGCCCGGAATGGGAGGAGCGTAGTACGCAAGAGGTAAACAAAAGGAGTACAATAGGGCTGTTTCGTTGTTACTCAGAGTTTCATGGCAAAAACCAATCATCAGACAACATCAGTTCTCATGATCATGATTGTAGCCGATTGTTGCCAAAAACCTGGGATTTCCCGATATTATCCACTATGAAACTCGTTATGCCCGCGGCTCAAATCTCACATAATGCTCGTTTTGTTCCTTTCTAAATTCTAATGCTCCATAATGCTCTGGTGCTCGGATAGTCGTATAATAGGGAGGTTTAGTTCCCACGTAACGGAAACGCGTACGTGGGTGATCCACGTAAAGTGGATGAAGGGCATCCACGTTGCGATGGTGTGTTTAGTCACATGGAACAAACAAAAGCCTGAAGCGAAAGGCCCAAACCTGGTCAAAGACGAAGCTACCCGGGCCTAAGAAGCTCATCGAATATTTTGATTTCGTGCTTCGGAAATTTCTTCAGCTGAGCACCCTCACAGCTCGCAAAATGCGCTCCATTCTGATTTTCACCCACGTTCTGGCGGAACGTGGGTGAGCCTCCATACACGGTATGTCGTGAATCAGAAAACGTCTGTACGTGTACGTGGGTCACTGAGTATCACGTGGTACACACACGTAAAGTACCCACGGATAGGCCTTGACGGATTATGCTAATAATATTTTCGTGAAATTATGCTTTTCGCAT